CCAGTAATAAAGCGGACCTGGACCTTGCTGCCCGGCACATGCGGAAAGAAATCCCCCCAGCAGGATCAGAGAAACCAGCCGCCCCCGGGACTTTGCTAGAACTTTCATTGCGCACCTTTCGTTCTTTTCTTGCGCGGCGGGACCGCCCGAAATGAACTTCAATTTGGTGACCACGCATGGGTATCGATCGCCTCGACGAGACGATTAACCGCTTCACGGATGGCAAGATCCAGCACCTTTCCGTTGAGCGTCGAATCGTAGCTCGACCCATAACCGAAACCGACAACCTCATTTGTTGAAAGCTCATAGTTGCCTGCACCCTGCGTTGAGAAAACAACCTGGGATGTCACGCTATCAACGATGTTGAGATTAACTTTGGCGTAGGCCACTTGGGTTATGCGACGCGAAAAGAATTTGTTATGCCCAACTTCCTTCCGACCAAACTCAGTCACATCGCCAGTTACGACATAACGCGCGCCGCGCACGGCGGTCTGACGTCCAGACCAGTCGTTTTCTTCTTCAACTGACTGAGGTTGTCACGATCCATAACATCGAATCGGTTTGTTTGCTGCAGATCCGTCTCGAGCAGCGTCTTGGCCTGACTGCCAAGCATATCTGTACCACCGGAGAAAATACCGCGCAGATATGTTGAACGGTTGTCGAATTGACCGATCGCGATCGGCTGTCGGACGCCTCGATAAATGGTGCCAGCAGAAGCAACCTTCTGGACAGAAAGGGCCTGCGCAGTCTCTTTCACATCGCCGCAACCGGGTAAAGTGAGCAGTGCTGCGAGAGCGACTGCTGTCATTACTTTAATATTCATGAATACCGCTCGCTTTTAAAATCCTTGAGGTCAAACTCACCTGTCACATTACGCGCAGTTAATGAACAATTAAATCGTTTTTTTAAAATCTTTTTTTGGTTATTTTCCGCCTATCACTTTTACGCCGAGACTAGAATTTCCAACCCGAGATTCCTTCACGAATACCAAGCATCCGAGCATGAATGCCTAAATTAACTACAAACAGTCCGCCGACTAACGTGGTTCGGGAAGTAACCTGATCTGAAGGGCGGCCCGATCTGCAACACGAGCGATAAGCTGGCTCAGAGCGTAGACCAGCTCCCCAGTTCCATGCGAGGACAGGCTTAAAGTTTCATAGAAAGGCGTCACCTGGACAGGTCCGATGGACCCCTGAGACGCGTGCACGGACAGGCCACCCTGTATGACGGCTTGCCCCTGCTGGTTTTCGTTAAAGGCTGTAATTGTGACTTCAACAAAGGCCTGAGGCTCCGTTTCGATTGCATCGTTCTGAGCAAAAACGGTCA